AAATACTTTGATTGAATATAAAAAATATTTTTTTGCATTGTATAAATTCACTTTTTTCCACATGCTACATGTATTTGTAAAATTTAAACAATGTTTGTAAATCCCAGGCCCTGAAAATGATCTCAATAAAGATCGAAACGTTGGCACGACAAAGAAAATGGTTTTCTGAAACCTACATCAAACGAGACCGCATCTCACGATTTCCGAATAATCATCGACTAACGGTCACTAATCACCACACAGAACTATTAACAATGAATACTCAAAACGAAATTTTTTAAATTTATTTTGCAGCAGTAGTCATTGTGTTCTCCATAGACATGCTTTAGCTATGAAACAAATGCCAGCCAAAGACTTTTTGGATGAGTCTGTTCAAAATTAATTATATCCAGTCACGGCCATTGAAGTCAAGAATTTGCAGCATACAATGTGATGATGTAGGAAGGCTTCATATTCCCAGATAAATTTAAATTCAAACCAAAATGTATACTTAGGGATCTGTAGAGATGCTAAAACAAAATTTCATATTTTTTGTTTTTATAAATTTTTTGGTTATTAATAACCTTTAATAGCTTTTACTATATTTTTGTTAGAATCCAGATAAAAAAAATGCTGTAAAGTGATATATTCACATAGTTGGTTTGAGTAAGTTACTAATTAATTTACTCATCCTCAAATTTAATGGCCTAACAACTATGATTTAATTAAACTGATCCTTGACATAATCACAAAAATTTTCTTATTTTATGGATTTTCTTTAGAACTCTTTTATGTATTTTTATAGTATATACGTCGTTAATAAGCTAAGTTTGTCTTGTTTTTAATGAGGTGTTAAAACAAAATTTCGTATTAGTTTCATAAAAAAAATTATGACCTACTTTACTTGAGAAATATTTGGTTAATGCGAACTTTGATAGCTGTTAGTATATTTTACTGCAATCTGCATAAAACCATACTGTACAATGATCTATTCACATAGCTAATTTGAGTAAGTAGAACGGCGAAATAAAATATCAAAAAATTGAACTTTCTAATTTGTTGGCAAAACCAAGGCCTATTCACACAAATTTGGAGGATACGTGTCCAATATTTTGAAGTGTAGAATCAACAAAAAAAGTTAGGTACATATCCAAACACGAACCAGTTCGTCCCCTTGTTATTTTTATTTATATTTTTATATTATTTTTCCACCAGCAGGAAAGCTCGTCAGGAGTGAAAAACTCTATTATTTTCATAGTTAACATCCGAGATCAGTACGATATCATGTGCCAAAAAGTACCATCCCTCTTCATCAGTTTTTCACCAGGGCTTATTCACAAGAAGTGGCGGATACAAGTCCTATATTTTGGAATGTAGAATTACCAAAAAAGTTTGGTCCAAATCCGTCTCACACCAACCTTGTCGTCCCCTTGTGAGTTAATACTAAATAAATGCGTATGAAACGTATTCAACTGATAAAATGTGATAAACTATCAACCAGTAAAAATAAATTAGAAAACGAAGGACAGTTTTTTCTAAAATTTTGATCTAAAGCAAGGAGCTGTAGTGGAAAAATTTGTCCGTGGTTGAGGATTATGGATGTTTTCTAAAAATATATTACCCTTCTTTTGATTTAACTTCTTCCACACATGAATTTTGTTTAACCGAGTTGGCCAGTACATTCTAAATTCTGCAGTAAAGCAATAATTTTTCGAGAAATTAAAAGATTAATTACTAAATTGTATTCATTATAGTTAAATATATATCCTACTCTTCTGAGTATTCTGAAAAACGAAACAATATTTATGAAACAACCATTATTAAAAACAGTCTTTGCGAAAAAAGAGACCATAAAATGTTCGTCAGCAGATAAAAAGGAAAATGGAAAATGCAGTACGCAACCACGTTCATATTGTGAGGTGTAAGCAGAAAAAATAATTACACTCGAGATTGCTGGCACATTTAGCTATAAATATTTAAAAATTATAATAGCACACTGTTAAAATAATAATATTTATAATAACCTAGTGCATTATATAGAGAAAGAATTAGAATTGTCAATTAATGAGTTTTTTTATTGAACAATAAACATATAAAAATGAACAAATATCTTTGCAAATAATATCAATTCATAAAAAAGATGTATAGATTTATATTGATCTACCTAATTCTAAAATCTACTACCTAATTGGCAGGTTATGTTAATTATTTACTTATAAAGTTTTCCCAATAAATTTTACTATCTTACTATTTTTCTTTTTTTCTGTGATTACAATTCTGTCATTTTTTCAATCGTAAGATTTTTTCTTGATGTCTATAGAGTTATAAAATTGGTTATTTTTCATCATTTTCAGTCCACCTTTACTTGTTGTTTTGGTTTGTCAGATGTCAGATTTCTGCCTTTTGCCATCATCAGTAGTTTGACAGACTTGTTTTTTAAATGTGCGGTTAAAATCATCTCGCTCACACCCACAGCTGCAACACTTTTTCTTTACACATTTACTCCTAAATCAATTTTTGATATGTTCTTCCAATGCAAAAAAAAATTTAAAATATTCAATCAAACTATTTCTACTACGTGTTTGTTGTCTGCGTAATTGTGCCATTCCATGAGTAGAAATACTTTGATTGAATATTAAAAAATAATATTTTTGCATTGTATAAATTCACTTTTTCCACATCCTACATGTATTTGTTAAATTTAAACAATGTTTGTAAATTCCAGGCACTGAAGATGATCTCAATAAAGATCGAAACGTTGGCACGATAAAGAAAATGTTTTTCTGAAACCTACATCACACCAGACCGCATCTCACGATTTTCGAATAATCATCGACTAACGGTCACTAATCACCACACATGTATTGACTATGTTTCTATTTTTGTGAAGCATACATCTTACATTTCATTTCATTGAAATATATAACTAATTACATAATTCAAATTTAGAACATACTACCTTCTTGAATGTACAAGAGTGAGGACAAAATTTTAAATCCTCTGTAGTAAGAACCAATAAACTCAAAAATATGAGAATGTACAAGCTTAACACGTTAAAATTATTGGAAACAACCAAAGAACAAAGAATAAACAAATTGACAAGACAAATATCTGTCTGACCTAAAAATCTAAGACATTTCAACAAAAATGTTCTAAAAACTTCTTGAATTTACTTCAAGAAGAAGAAAAGCCACCTGTTGTCAGAAAAACTATTAAAAAATTGTCACTTAAAACAACTAATGTAAAATATGAAATGCTGAAGCGACCAAGACTCAAAAAATGCCAATGATGATTACACATTAATAAGCAGAATATGCATTATTCTTTGATGGTAAAAAGTACTGGTCAAATTGCCTAAACTTTTCATAAAACAATTAATCAATTAATTGTAGCTTCTTTACTTATTTTACAATTGAAGTTCATTGGTCAGAGAATTGTAAAATTATTATCTCTGGTCATCCATTGTCGTCATATATTGTAATTAATGCTCTTAAGGAAAAATGAAAAAATGCACTGGTTTTGAATTGATTTCTGACATTTCCCGGTTGATCTACTACTAATTGAATATTTATCAGCAAATTTATGGATAACTTAAAAGACAAAAACAAGGGATGGCACACAAGAATCTAATGCCACTTGAAAAATCAATAAGCAAATACATACCAAGATTATGAAAGAAGATCAAATTAAATTATTTTAAAGATGAGATACATTTTTGGGCAAAAATGGATTACCTTAAAATACACGTGGAATCAAAAAATTTTTGAAAAGTATTAAATAATATAAAAAACAAGAGCATGATTGAATTTTTTGCCAAAAACCACATACTTAAATTACGTAAAACCATGAGAGAGAGAGAGAGAGAGAGAGAGAAAGTGAGAGAGTTTGAGTAGGATGAGCAAGAGAAAGATGGGAAAGAGAGAGTATCGGAAGGAAAAAGATAAAAGAATTCTCGGGAAGAGTGAGAGTGACAGAGAAAGATAGAAGAGAGAGAGTAAGAATGTGAGACAGAGAACAAGAGAGTTAGACAGATATATAAAGAGAGTGAAAGTGAGATGTTAAGACATAGAGAATGAGGAAGAGTGGGATGAGGGATAAAAATGAGGGAAAGAGTGAGTTTGAGAGGAAGAGAAAGAAAAATAATCTTCATGTAGAAGACGTTTATAGCCATTATAAAATACATTTAAGTAGTTTATTGGTTTTTTTTTTTTTTAATATAGTTCCTACTCACACTAAGTTGTTTTGCAATGATCCGGATTTCGAGCCCATAGCTCATCATCAGATTGAAGGCGTTCTACAACCTGATGATGTGCTAAGGGCTCGAAATCCGGATCGTTGCAAAACAACTTACTATGAGTAGAAACTATCTTTTTAAAAAAGATTGAACACCGCATTCACTCCACCATTCATAATTTTTATTTGTTTATTGGTTTTGTTATAGCGATTGGAAAAATTCTAAAGTTTTTTTATGTGGTGGAAAAACTGACAGAAAAAATTGTATATTTTGAACGTTAAATAAAAATTATGTGCCCTTGATTAATTAATGTCTTCATTTTAATTTTAACTTTGGCTTAGTTTTTGAGAAGATAATTTTTGAAATCTGACTTTCCTCCTGGAGTCTCGGGCGTTTGACTCAGCCTTTCAACATTTATCTGAATCGATAAACCCCACTCTGAATTGTGAGAAGTTTCATTTATTAAATTTATCTTTCTGTCGAATGCTATGAACATTATTGCAGGGTCTTGATAGATTGACTTTTAACATTTATGTTATGTAATTTATTTGAAAAAATTATTATTGAGCATAAAAGTCGATCAGGCCTTTGTTTAACGAGCTCGAAATCGAATTATATTTAGAAGAACACGATGAGCGATAGCCACATTTGTCCTATATCTCTCACTATCATTGGTAACAGAATGACAGTGAACCATTTAAAATTGAGGATAATTGAGATCAGGACACCCTGAACGTGAGAAAATCTCCATTGGGAAAGATTTAATTTTCATATATAAAGAGCAAATTGATTTGCAGATGGAGTTCGTTCCAACACAACCGAACAAAAGCCCTTGCATAAAAAATGGCATTCAAGTCCATCCTCGTCCTCGCCCTCGTCGCCCTCGCCGCTGTCTCTGTAAGTATATCTGATTTTATGTCTTTGGATTATATAAGTATTTTTAGAGATTCTGGTCTATTTTGAGTTAGAACATAAAGTTTCAAAAGAGTCTTCTTCTAGCTAAATTCTTTGGCATTTGTTCTTCTACATCCATAATTTACTTTTTCGCACTCCTATTTAGTTTGTGATAATTTTCTCTTTTTTAACAGCAAAGATTCTATCGATTAAAATTTTTTACTTGTTTCAAGTGCTCAATTTGTTGTTTGCACATTTAATTAATATTTTTTATCTAACAATTGAAGCCCACTAAAACGCACAGACCTACTGAAAATTCGAAATAACAGAAAGTAGTATGCACATATTATAGGTTTATGGTATATCAATCTGGAAAATGAGGAAATTATTTTTTTTTTTTAATTAAAGTACACCAGTGCCCAGCCATGTGGTTCCTGTTGTCCAGTGGCACGTAAAACCTGTTGTGTAACTGTGCCCTGCACCACCGGATGCGGTAACTGCGGATGCGGATGCGGTCTCGGAAACTGCGGATGCGGTCTCGGAAACTGCGGATGCGGTCTCGGAAACTGCGGATGCGGACTTGGAAACTGCGGATGCGGACTCGGAAACTGCGGATGCGGACTCGGAAACTGCGGATGCGGTTTCGGCCTCGGAAACTGCGGATGCGGTTGCGGTCTCGGAAACTGCGGATGCGGTTGCGGTCTCGGAAACTGCGGTTGTGGTCTCGGAACCTGCGGGTGTGGAAACTTCGGAGGCTGCTGCGGACACAAGACCTGCTGCGTAACCGTTCCCTGTTGCGCATAAAGCATCAGCAATAAATCTCTAAAGCAATATTTCTTTATAATTTTCTTTACACACTCTCACTTATTCTTACGTTTAGTCTTAGTACAATAGTTATAAATACGTAAAAATATTCGAGACGATTCTAAGCAGAATATTGACTATTTCAACAGCAATAACTTCAGTGGATGGCTGCATGTTTTCTCTCATATCGAGCTAGCCCATGTTTAATCATCTGTAAAGAACAACGTCAAAAGTTATCGTTACTATAAAATAACCGATTATTTTTAATATGCACATTCAATAGAAAAATGCAACATTCGGTAAAAACTGAAAATGTCACCACATGACAAGCAGATATTTACTGATTATTTCGCAGTATCAAAGTAATAGGCTATATAATATATATTCTCAGTTGTAATAATTACTGCCACGTAGCTAGCAGTAATTACATTTACAAGAAACGACAAAAGACACCAGAGCGAGAGAAAACATGCAGACATATAGGTGGTATGGCAACTAATTACAGCGATAATAAGTGGTCTATGAGAAAACTCTTAATTAATATTTCAACCTTGAATTCAATTATATTTTAAAAAACTATTAAAAATCCTGTTCATTTAGGTTTCCCCTGGACTACGGATTGATAACGCAATGTCAAATCCATTGAATGTTTGGTTATTCTAAATCGGAACTGATCAATGGTTGTTTTGTCAGGACAATTGTAATATTCATTCCGAATCGTGGATAGGACGTCACAGACAATCACAGTTTTCATCAATCAATAATTATATTTAATCCATTACAGTTCGTGGTCCGATTGACCAGTTAACGTTTTTCGATTAATTAATATTTCTAAAAGGTATTGGTTAAGATAAAAAAGCCAGTGTCACGAGCGGGATTCGAACCCACGACCTTTGGCTAAAAACGCCGCTGCTCTACCACTTGAGCTATCGTGACTTCGATCCACTCGGACACTAACTTTCCATCTCAACCCCAACTCTCGAATTTTCCCTCCTTTTTGCCGTTTTTCAAATGTCGTGTAATCTATTTGATTCTCGCGGCAAATGATATGGCCACGGAGAGCTTTAGTAAAGTTACTTCTTTTTGCTTATTAAATCTATAGGGTTTCGTGGTCCGATTGACTAAATAAATTCTTTTCACTTAATTAATCCCTAAGTAAGGTATTGGTTGAGTTAAAATAGTCAGAGTCACGAGTGGGATTCGAACCCACGACCTTTGGCTCAATACGCCGCTGCTCTAACCACTTGAGCTATCGGGACTTCGATCCGCTGGGACACTAACTTCCCATCTCAACCTCACCTCTCGAATTTTCCCTCCTTTTTTCCATTTTTCAATTGGCTTTTTTTATCTTAGCCAATACCTTTCATAAATTAATTGAAAAATGTTAATTGGTCAATCGGAAGTACATCTTGTCGAATGCTCGAGAAGGCTTTTTCTTCAGTTTCATTATTAAATCCATTACCGTTCGTGGTCCGATTGACCAATTAACATTTTTCAATTAATTCATATTTATGAAAGGTATTGGTTAAGATAAAAAAAGCTAATTGAAAAATGGCAAAAAGGAGGGGAAATTCGAGAGGTGAGGTTGAGATGGGAAGTTAGTGCCCGAGCAGATCGAAGTCACGGTAGCTCAAGTGGTACGGTAGCTGTGTATTCAGCTGAAGGTCGTGGGTTCGAATCCCGCTCATGACACTGGCTTTTTTATCTTAACCAATACCTTTCATAAATATTATATTTAATGTTTTTAAATACATTTAATTCATTTCAGGCTTGACTGGAATAACTAGTGGTAACAAATGCGGACTTTTATTTGTAGTTATTCAATTCTAAAAGTTACTGGTACATGCATTTTTGTCAGATCATTTGTAATAATTATTCCAAATCTAGAATAAAATTTCCTTGATATATTTAAACGAATTTATAAAAAGACACTAGATCGAGAGAAAACATGCAGGCTTCTAATGCACATGGCAAAGGATTACAGCGAGAATAGGCGACTATCAGAAATCTCGCGTAGCAAAGCTCAATGGAAGAATGATGATATAAAAATTACCAGTTCAATTTTAGCACAAAAGAAAGAAACTCTATAAAATGTTCTTGATATATTTAAACAAATTTATAAAAAGACACTAAATCGATAGAAAACATGCAGGCATCTAATGGATATGGCAAAAGATTACAGCAAGAACAGGCGACTATCAGAAATCTCACGTACCAAAACTCAATGGAAGAATGATGATAGACAAATTACCAGTTGAATGTTAGTATAAAAGAAGGAAACTCCACAAAATTATTTCAGTTGTTATGCTGGATTACCTGGGAAAACACATACGGACATCCACTGACAGTTATTAATTTTAAAAGTTACTGGTACATGCATTTCCTCAGATCAGTTGTAATAATTATTCCAAATCAAGTTCAAAATTTCCTTGAAACATTCAAACAAATTTATAAAAAGACAGTAGATCAAGAGACAGCATGCAGGCATCTAACGGATACGGCAAAAGATTATGCGAGAGTAGGTTCACTATCAGAAATCACAAGTACCAAAGCTCAAAGGAAGAATGATGATACAAAAATTACAAATTGAATTTCAACATAAAAGGAAGAAACTCTACAAAATTATTTCAGTTTTATGCTGGATTACCTTGGAAAAATACATGCGGACATCCACTGACAGTTATTAAATTTTAAAAGTTACTGGTACATGCATTTCTTCAGATCAGTTGTAATAATCACTCCAAATCTAGTATAAAATTTCTTTGATAGATTCAAACGAATTTATGATGGAGAGAAAATGCAGGCATCTAATAGATATGGCAAAAGATTATGCGAGAGTAGATTGACTATTAGAAATCTCACGTATCAAAGCTCAAATGAATGATGATACAAAAATTACCAATCGAATTTTAGCATAAAAGAAAGACACTCTACCAAATTATTTCAGTTTTATCCTGATCTACGTTGGGAGAACACATGCGGACAATCACTGAAAATTTGTTAAATCCTACTTGAAAATCCTAGACTGAGGGAATATAAGCAGACAGCCAATCCTTATTTTTAAAAAGAATAAGAATACTTAATAAATGTATCAAGTTTTATTTTTCTTATTTTATGGATTTTTGTACGTTATCTCCCATATTAATTTTCTACTGGACTACCTCGTGTGAACACATGCGGACATTCAATATTGTTGATCGATAAAATATGTCTCATTATAATTATCCTTACTCTTCTGTCTGATCTGTATCTAATCTTTATCCCTAATATCCCTGCTATATTACAGGATTCAAAAAATACTAGATAGAGGTAAAACATACAGATATCCAATGTCCGTAGCGAAAATAGGCGGGCCGCGTGGTTTTGAATATGATATTTTATTCAGAAAGAAAAATAATATACTAATTTATAAAGTTTTCTTATTTTCTTTTCTGAATTCGTATGTTGTTTGCAATCTGGCCAACTCGTTTGCGTTTTCTGTTGGATTATTTTTTGTTATCATGTGCAGACATCCACTGAAGATTAGCTAAACTCTAAAACTTATCGTTGCGTTTTTATGAGATCAGTTGTAATATTTTAATTCCAAATTAAGGATACCACTTCATTGACAATCGTCGTAAAGAAACAAGTCATCAGAGCGAAAGAAAACATGCAGACATCTACTTTGGTATAACCAAAGACTACGGCGAGAGTAAGCGGACTATCTGTAGCATAACTCTTATGAAAACTGAAATTTATTTAAAAGGAAAGCTATTCCACAAAATCTTTCTCTTTTGAGTTTAAAGAGTGTCTAACAAGCGGTAGCACACGCGGACATCCATTGAAGATTCGTTATTTAATAAAAAGTAACTTGTCCTAATAACCTTTTCATTTTTATCAGATCGGTTGTAATATTTATTCGAAATATAGAATAAAATTTTGGTGCCATTCACTAAAAATGACGAAAAGACATCTCGTCGAGACAAAAGACCAGCAACGTCACCGTTTCTTGACCCTCTTACTATATTCTTATGTTTAATTTTTATGCAAATCAGCCTATTTAAGTAACAACTTTTTTTTGTAAAATACGAGTGTTTTCAAACCGGGTCTTTAACACGACCTTGTCTTCAGCCGGGTTTTCCTTTTTTCGCCTCGTTTCTCCGTTTTTGCAATTCTGCAACCAGGATCCACATTGTACACTGGTTTCGAAACCGTTCTACATTTTCATCGGTGGTTGGGAAATTCGGAAAGAAATGTTTTGAAAAATCTGGGTCGCGTAAACTCGCCTGCACATCCGATAGGCATGTTTCAAAACATTTGCATTATTTGTTTGCTATACTTTGCCCCATTGTTTTATTCCTTGGTGTCAACAGTTTTCTTTGACTAAATTTATTAAACACTCATGGCACACGATAATATGTATAACCTCCACATAAGGAGTACGTTTAAAAATCATATGCTTTTGTTTAAAAGAAAACAGAAACGACAAGAAAATTCAGATTTCTGACAGAACAGAATAAAGACTGGTTGTCTACAAGCACTACAAAAAAATTGTATAGTACATTTAGAACAAACATAACAAATGATCTGAATGGTTGAATAAAACATTTTTAAAAAATGCAAGAACCACTAACTTTGAGAATTTATTAACTTATTAATGTCCGTGTCTTGCTGCTAGTTAGTCGATGTCAAATTTCAAACGAGAGGTGTTCAATCGATTGTAAACAATTTAATTAATTACGGATATTTTATTCAAGATAGTTATGTTACTTATGGTTCGCCTATTTTCAGCGTAATATTTCGCCATATCCACTAGATGTCTGCATGTCTTCTTTCGACCTAATATCATTTTGTAATTTCTTATAAATACCGTCAAAACGGCATCCAAGATTTACAATAAACATTACAACTGTTTTGACAAAATGCAACGATTCGTGACTAAATATAATCATAAAAAAAGATCTGTCAAACATGATCAGTTACGTTTAGAATTGTATAACTACCAGTGGATGACCACATGTGTCACCGTTTGTTAGTCCCTGTCAAAACT